TTGTAAGTGTTTAACTGAAAAGGAAGACAGCCATATCATGAAACAACCAGAGACCCTACACAGATGCTCTTCAGTGTAGCACATGCCTAAGGCTGTTTAAATGAGATATGGAATGCTGCTACCCCTAGCCAAGGACCATATCTGGGCTCTGTTGACTCAAGGCTGACCCACCTTTGTGCACATTTTTCCTCTTTGGGAGGTGAGATGCTTAATCTGTTGTTCTGGTTTAAAATGCTCCATTGCTTTCATTAAGCTGAGAGTGCAGCCTCAAGACTCAAGGGACACAGGGTGATTATAACCCCCCAGCCACAGAACCCTGGTGCTCAGGGGATTCCCTCTGACCTGACAACTCCAAACATCACCACTCGAGATGAACTGCCGTGAAAAAAGGGCCTATGTATTGTGTGAAACTCTGTATGCTGGGGAGGTCAATACGTATGGTGTCCCCAGGATAGTGATGGCATTGAGGCTGGGCTGGGAAAAAAGCCGCAGTAGTTCCAAAAATATTCCCTTGACTTTGGTCCCTGGTAGTCTACATACATTCCTGCTTGGACCGAGTTACTTCCTTCTTACCTGAAGCACCTGTTATTCCTCAGTCTTCCTGGGAGTTTGTGTCCCCTCCCCCCATTTGAACAGCCTTGGCCCTGACCTGTGGGCAGGTATAGAACAAAGGGGACGAGTTCTGTGTGTGATGTGTGTGGCCAGCGGAGGGAGGTGAGGGGAGAGAGGACCTCTTTGTGAACCTAAAAATAAATTTTGAAAGGTACTGAATCTGTGATCCTGCCTCACTTATCCTGTTCCTCTTATGAGAGAGGTTTCTACTTTTCTGTTTGCTGCCTGGGTTGAGAAGATGGTTCTGAGAGACCTCAAACCTTTCCAACCTTGCACAAGCGGTGTAGACATGGAAAGATTCTTGCAGAATGTAAGTGACTGTGACAGTACAGGGGCAACACACAGAGAGGCACGTGTTCATTATGTATGGCTGGAGAAATTATCTGTCTCCAGGGGGACATGTTTCATTGTGCATTAGCTTCTAGCTGCTTCCTTCCTCCCTATTCCCCTGCCCACTCTCTCTATCACTGTCCTTCTGAGTCTCCTCTCCCACTCCCTGTCCCCCCCCATTTAGTCCAGCTCTGCCCATCAATGTCTCCATCCATCTCTGCCACGTCCCTGTCTCCCTCTCCACTTTGCTCAACCTCACTGTTGCTGTCCAGGAGTTGCTTTTCTGTTTCTGTCTCTCATTTGTCTTTCGTTCTCTCTAGCTCACTTTCTCACATTCCATCTGTGTTTCCCTCTGTAATACCAGCGTTTTAGGTCCCCTGCAGCTAGTGATAACCTTTTCTTGTCACATTAAAGTCCATAAGCCGCACTTGGTTTATTGATTGATTGGTTTTTATTTAAATTCTGCAGAAGAAAGAAAAGGCAATTTTTATAAAGAGAGAGAGCAGAGAGGAAACATGAAATCAAGCAAGGGGAGAATAGAAAGAAGGGGCAGCCTGAGAGGATAGGGGGAGTAGGCGGAGGCATCAGAAGTGGGTGAACCCACGGGGTCTTATTTCCTTTCAGTTAAACTCGGTCGGATATTCATGGTTGATGACAGCTAAATCTGGATGATAAAGGGTTAAGTACCAAGTTAGGCTTGGCACCTAACTCACAGGCAGAACCTTCAGGGAGAAATGAGTTAGGTTAAATAAACCCAAGGAGCTGACGTGGGTAGAATTTCTTCTGCCTGACCCACTAACAACTGCGAACGGGTCATTTTAGAAACTCGTTTTATTGAAATGCTTCAGTGGGGCATAGCCCCTGGATTCAAGAACTTGGCTCTGAGGCCAGGCCTGGGGAACCCTGCAGGGATGTGGACAGTTGGCTGACGAAGGGGGAGAGGAGGGGCGGCCGGGGTCAGGCAGGAGGTGGCAGCAGCTGCTGATCAGGGCAGTTCTGATTGCTGTGCTAGCTCTCTCCTCTCGCCCGCTATAATTAACGCTTTCACAATATGATGCTGGCTTCCTGAAGGGAAACTAGAATTTAAAAACAAACAAAAAACAGCAGAGACACTTGGTTGCAATATATGTATATTTTAAATCATAAAGCACTTGATCATGTCTTGAGGTCACTGCTGCTGGTCAGTTTCAAAGGACCTAGTCTTGTGCTACAGCCCTGGCAGGAGGGGCTCGTCTAACAGAACACAACAAACAACAGAACATAAAATACCAAACTGTACTCGCCAAATTAGATATGCCCATGGAACTCCTCCACTGGCCGTCATCCTCTTTACCGCTGACAAGGGAAGCGCTCCGCTCCCCCCAGGCTCCCTCACCTTTTTTTCCCTTACTCCCTTTCGTCCCACCTCTTGCTTCTCTCCCCAAACAGACCACACAGAATCCGTGGACCAGAATAAATCAGTTGTTTTATTTCCCCTCCAAGGATGTAACCTTCCACTCCCCAAATGGCTTTGACAGTTTTCTCATTTGCTAGCTGAGGAGGATATCAAGAGACACTGACCTGGTGGTTTTGCCTAAAGAGGGAACGCTCAGTTACTATTACGCTTCAGCCCCTGATTTGCTTTAACTGTGCCCTTCTCCCTCCTCCCCATGTCCTCCCTACCTTTTCACCTTCCCTCGTGAACGTTCTACTTATGCTGCTCCCCACAGCCCCCCTTGTCTGGTGTGGAGCTGCTATAAGGCACATCTGCCTTCAACCCCACAGCATTCTCTGCCAGCCAGGGAAAGCACGGGGCCTCTAGGAGTGCCTGCTCCCTATTTAATCAGATTAATCCCATCAGCTACCCTGAGGAGTCAGATTTTGGTGTTAACTGAGCTATCTGTGGAAGGAGGAGAAATTGTCAGACATCACTTAAAGAGCCCTGTCCCTTGGACGACTGGGAACTGCTGAGAGAAATTAATCTTCCAGCTATTTAAGGCAATTTCTTTTCCATCATCCTTTGTCAAGAGGACTGCACTGGGAAATGAATCTGATGGGAGTCCCTGAACTGGTACACTCCACTCAACAGCATCTCTCCAACGCTATGCGGCATCCATCATCCCCACACAAGCGGAGACACACCACCACTGCAAAGCCAACTCCGACCAGTCCCAGCAGCAAGAAGCCACGTCTGCACAGGGTGGACATCACTGGGCCTGGGGGCCTGCAGTGTGCCTCTGCCTCTGCTCTACTTTCTTTCCAGAAAACCCAACACAAATTGATCTCTTCCATTGAGTCTTATCCAAGATCCAGGAAGGCAGGGAAACAGGAATATGCCAAAACACAGGACTGTAGGTTATGCGTTTTCTCACCTGAACGTAAGGACTCAGCCAGTGCAGAATAGGTGTTTACATTAAACAGCCAGATTACTGCCGAAGCCAAGCGTGAGTCAGAAACAGGGCAAGGGTACCATTGCTTCAAGACCATCTCTTCTCTCCAGGCTGAATTTTCTTTCATGGGCTGTGAGCCCAGGGAGTCATGCTCTCTGGGGTCATGTAATAGAATTCCAATCTTCATCTTTCTTTCCACCCTCAAAGTTACTTCTCAGAGCAGTTATTTTCAAATTGCATTCCTTGGGATTCCAAGAAGTGCCAGGGAGTAAGGCGGGGCAGGGGGTTGTAGCAAGTGGCCGGAGAGGGAAGCTCAGTGGTTGAGGCTCTGGACTCCTCAACTCTACTTGACCTGATTTGATTTCTTTCAGGTGTTGGGATTGCTCCTAAGAGTTCATTTTTTTTAAAAAAGGTTCTAATTTTTTAAAAGATCTGTAAACCAGTGTCCTAAGCAAGAGGAAGATGATTGTACCTGTGCCTCTCATACAGCTGACCATTTGCCGATGGCTTCACAGAAGGGAGACGTGGCATGGCGCCTGCCTGCTTCAACTGTACAGTAGGTCCAGGTCCACGCTAGCAGCTCCCCGACTCCAGGGGCTCCCGAGGCACTTTTCAGCAAAATGAATCTCCTTAGGCACGAGAGTCATTTGTTTTCCAAACTCCCTTCTCCAATCTCACTAATTCCCAATTTCCCTGCATTTGACAAATGCAATTAACAAGCCTCAATCAGTTCCTGGTCGACAGCCCTCATCAATCAATAGGACGACTGCATGAGGCGGGGAGGGGAAGAGAAGGTGCAAGAAGGGAAGGTAGCTGAAGACGGGGGAGAACAGGCCTTACTCCGTCTATTTCTGTGCAACACCCTCCCAACCCCTCAGTGTCAAAACATGACACTGGGTTGTCACCCTCACCAACCGCTCTCTTCCTTCTTGCTAACTAAATACAAAGCTGTTATTATTTATGCCCTCCTCTCCCAGCTTTTTAAAGGTTTCTCCCACCAACCTCCTCTTTCCCTTATTTCTATGTCTTCTCTTTAACAGAAGGCCTTGCCATCTGCTGTCACCATAGCTTGGGAACCCCCTCAGTGCTGGGTGTGATAAATCAGCCATCTCTCTGCTCTCAGCTGGGCCTCTTTCCCACCCACACGTTCCAGTGACAACTTTATGATGCTTCCTGCCCAGGAGGCTATATAAGCCCACCATCATCCCCCTCTGTCCCCTATATATACACACACTGGAGGGCCAAAGGACAAGGATCACCCAGCTTGTGGTCACTATTGCCTTCACACTCACCTCTTCCCAGGTCCAACCCTTCCCTCCCCAATTAAAGATTCAAGATGGACCCTCTTCACTTTTCTGCTCTGCACATAGCATCAGCCTCCCCTCCCCCACCACAGGGTGAGAGCTTTTTCCTCTGCAGCTCAGCCTGGTACAGCCCTGTGCATCTTTCCACCTCATCAACTTTTCATCTCTTTGCAAACGAAATCGGGAATTCTCTCCCTCCTCCCTGCCTCCCTCTCCTTCTCCTTTGTTATTAGCTTCATGAGTGGGGACGTTAATGTATTCACTAGATAATGTCTTTACACCACTGTTTCCTGTAATTACAGTCACTTCCCTCCCACTGTCCTGGTTTATTTGACTGTAAAGTGCTTGGAGGAGGGACAGTGTGGACAAAAGACACAACACAGGCTGAAGTCGAGTAGTGTAATGTTGACATCCAAGAAAGTAAAACAAATAATTACCTCTGCAGCAGCTCATTAACAACTGGAAACACAGAGGTCAACGCACCAGAGCTTAACAAAATTATCAATATAATCGGGGACCCCTCCACTATAGGATGGGGTGCTATACCCAGATTACCAACGAAAGTCACCCCCCCAACAAATGCAAAATAGCCACATCCACCCTCCTTCAGGGGGCAGATCCACTATACTTGTCATGTAGATCAGCTACATTGTCACTGGAGACTCGGATCCAGCCATCCTCCCGGACATGGTAGAGGTTGACCGCACCTCCTGAGTAGGCATCTCTGTAGGTGGCTTGGTAGATGGCTCGACGGGCCAGATCATAGGCCTCTTCCACCTCCAGGTCATAGGAGTAGCCCCGATCCATGACCCCATAAGCATACACAGAGCCAGAACCTACAGAGAAGGTGGTCCCTGAGATCCGGTTTCCTTCACTGTCCACATAGTAGAGGCCTAGAAAGAGAGATGAGGTTAGCAGGGAAAAAAAACGACTACTCCTTTGACATCTAATTCATTCTCCAAGGCAACAGTTCTCTACCCTCTGGAAACCCAGGCGAGACCAACATAAATACAAGAAAATAGGACTTCTATAAAATTGCTTAAAAAAAAAAAAAAAAAGCTGAGGGAATCAAATTAAATATTAAGACTCCAGGCTTCTACAACATACCACCTCATCTCGCCTCACATTATAGTGACTACCTTGCCTGTCTTCTCTGCACAACCAAAAAGCAAGTATAATTCAAATGACTTTGGTTTCAAGACTGGAACTTCAGGCACTGTGGGAGATAATGTTTAAAACAATCCTAGCCCTCAGAGTTTAGACTATCTGGGGGACAAGACATATATCACACAATAGGAGAGTAAAGCCTAGAGTTCCAAGTCATATTGTAAGGATCTGCACCGTCCAATGTGGTAGCCACTAGCCTGAGCATCTGAAATGAAGCTAGTACCACATGCTAAAATGATAACATTTTGGATTTGTTGGATTAAATACAACATACTATTAAAATTAATTTCTTCTTTATTTTTAATTTTTAAAATATGGCTACTATGAAATTTAAAATGACATGTATGGCTGACATTATTTCTATTAGACAGTGCCAGTATAGACCTGGGGTTGGCCAGGCCAACCGCCTATTTTTATAAATAAAGTTTCATTGGAACACAGCCACACCCATTTGTGTATACACTGTCTATGACTGCTTTTGTGCTAAAACAGCAGAGTTAAATAATTGAGACAAAGAACATATGGCCTGCAGGCCTAAAATATTTACTCTTCGGCCCTTTATGAAAAAGTTAGGGGGCCGGCCCCGTGGCTTGGTGGTTAAGTGCTTGCGCTCTGCTGCTGGCGTCCTGGGTTCGGATCCCGGGCGCACACCGACGCACTGCTTCTCCGGCCATGCTGAGGCCGCACCCCACATACAGCAACTAGAAGAATGTGCAGCTATGACATACAACTAACTACTATGGCTTTGGGGGGAAAAAATAAAATAAATAAAATCTTTAAAAAAAAAAAAAAAAAGAAAAAGTTAGCCAACTTCTAATATAGATGAAAATTTAGACAAAAATTTTAATAAAACTTTTATCAGTTCCAACTGTCTGCTGGACCTCTCCAACTGGATGCCTTTCTCACCAAGTTCAGATTCAAACTTCCTGTCCTCAAATACTTTCAGTGGTTCTCCATTACCTACCAAACTCATCCTTCTTGTGCCCCACCAACCCATACTTCCTCCTGTAGTTTCAAATTCTGCCAATGGCATCACTAATCTTTTTCCTATTTCAGTGGTTCTTAACTCTCACTATGCATCCGAATCATCTAAGGAAGCTTTTAAAAAAGATGCCTAGGACTTACCCCAGGTTTTTTATTTCAATTGGTCTGGAGTCGGGGACAAGCATGGAGCTTGTTTTTTAAGTTCTTCAGGTGATTATAATGAAAGCCAGGTTGGGGACCCACTGCCCCGATCAGTTTTCAGGTTCAGATGATTCTAATGTCCACTCCAATCTAGCCCTTCCTCAGTCCCACTGCCACTACCTTGCCCAGCAGGGTCACCACCTGGCTCCAATTTACCTTTCTGGTTTCGTGGCTCACTACTCCCCTTCACACACCTTAGTTCCAGTTAAACTGGACTTCCAGTTATTCCCCCCAAAATCTCATGCTTCCTTCCTTCAATTGTTATGTTTCCTTTCTCTCATTTTCACATCCATGACAACTGCCACCTTTCCATGAAGTCTTCCCAATTCCTCCTATCAGAAGTAACTCTCTCCTCCTCAAACCTTCTTCAGCATTTTATTGGTTCTTTTAAAAATCGTACTCATCTCATTCAGCCTTATATTAAGTGATCTGTGATCCTTTCTCAGTCCGGTTCAGTCTGGTTCTGACTCATTCTGAATGGGATGGTTTGTCAGGAAGGGTTTGACAGGGTACCATTTAGGTTATACTCAGCTTCCTGGGTTGTCCTTGCTAGCCAGTTTCTGTACTCCCTTACACTGTTTCTACCACCTGGAACAAACCCAACAGCTAAGGGTTCAAAGTAACATTTCTGAAATGCTTCCCTAGACCACACAAGATGTATGAAACTATTCTTTCACACCTTTCAAAGAGAAAAGTGTCTCGCTTTCCAAAGTAACAAACTGAGCTCCTCTTTCACATCTACTTTTTAATCTCACCGCATTCATTCTCCATTGAGTAATGAACTGATATATTCCCCAAAGCAAGTGAAAAAGTTGTGGGTACCCTACAATTGTTCGAGAGAGGAAAACTAGGCATTTAGTAAGGAGCTAAATGAATGAAGCAAAAACAATAGGAGCAAAGAGTAACTATTTTTAAGCATCGAAGGGGAAAATTACACAGAAAGTGACTAGCTGTATTCCAGCTTGACTAAAGGGACATTCAAAACTGGCTGAAGAGGAACTGACACCAGATACAAGATTGAGCTTCCCAGCAAGGTTTTTATAAACTGGAAAGGAAAATAGGCTAAGGAATTTCTTTTGAGAGAGATGATGGAATAGGACCTAGGGTGTTTATATTAAGCAAGGAAAGGAGATGAACCCAAAAGGCCCCTTCTAGGCCAAAGACTCCCTAAAGCAAAAAAGGGAAGAGAAATGACTAATTTTTGAGTGGCTACTTACTGTATACTAAAGTTTTGCTGTCCAATACAGTAGCGACTAACCCCATGTGGCTATTCAGCACTTGAAATGGGGCTAGTGCCACATGCCAAAACGATAATATTTTAGGTATTTTGGATTAAATGAATTGTTAAAATTAATTTCACCTATTTATCTTTACTTTTTTCATATATTCACTAGAAAATTTTAACTTAAATGTGTGGCTCATATTATATTTCTATTAGATAGCACTGACTGGAGTTTTTATGTCTATTATCCAATTTAATTCTCAAATTCCACTCTTTGTAGGTCTTATCATTTTGTGGAGGAGAGAGTAGAAGGAAAAACATTATGTGCCAGACATTACATGCTTTACATGTATTACCTCATCTAACCAATGTAACAGATGAGGAAACAGAGGCTGAGAAAATAAGCAACCTGTGTTGAGGTCCCACGGTTAGTCATGACACAGCAGGGCTAACTCCAAGGCCCTTTCCCACCCTACAGTGCCTTCCATGAACAAAGAGAAGGAAGGTCCCAGAACCTAATCAACACATCCTCAGCACTGAAAGCCCTTTCATTCACCTGTTCATCCAGCCCCTCCTTTCTGTAGGGGCAGCCCAAGAATCATGCCACTGCAGCTAAACTCACCAGGGCCTCTCTTATCCCAGCCACAGATCATGGTGCCCATGGACAGCCCCATGCCCTTATACTGATACACCATGTTGGCCAGCAGCTTGGAGGCAGCTGCTACCGAGATGCGTTCCTTGTTTCGAAGTTCATAGATTCGACATTGCCGAGCCAGTAGCCGCTCCCAGAAGCTGCAATCGGCTGCCCCTCCAGCCATGGTGCCCAGCAAGTAGGGGTTGATCTCTATCACCTTCTTTACTGTCTGGGAGGCAATGTAGGCACCCGCTGTGGCCCGGGAGTCCGCTGCAACAATGACTCCATGTTGAAACTGTTAAGATCAGAGGAAAACACAAAGCAGGCCACATCAGACCACAAAAACATCTCCTTGACATTTCTCTTTGCGTCAGTGCAAACCCAGAACATCATCTCTGTCGTATTATACTTCACAATATACTTTCCCACATACTAATGTCACTTGAGCTTCACATCAAAGGGAACAGGTTCTATGAGATCGAATGACTTGCCCAAGATCGTAGAGTTCGTTATTGCAAAGCTGGGTCAGGAATCCCAACTGTTTGGCTCCTAGTACAGTGCTCCCTCCCACCAATCTTCCCCCACATGCCATAACGTTTCGGTTACCCTCGCCTAGCGAGCGGGGCCACCCAGTTTCCAAAACCTTTGGTGAATGGTTACAACAGCCTTCCCTCTGCCAATGTTCATTGCTGCTGCGGCCTCCCCTTTCCTGAATAGGAGCAACCGGGGGTGGCCTAGGCATCAACCCAAGCAGCCTCGGGTTCCTTCTCCCACTCACCCCCAGCCCCACCGCCCCCCTCGAGAACCGAGGCCTCCCTGGGCAATGAGACAGCGAAGCCGCTGGTGGGGAGACAAGAGGCCCGGGCCTCCGCTTGGGTTTCCTGACCACGGCCACCGCGAGCTCCGGTCGGCTGGGAAACCGGAAGGGGCGCGGGCGTGCGGGACTCAGCCCGGCGCGACGGCGGGGTCTGCACCTTGAAGGCCAGGGTGGTGGTTCCATGAAGCATTTCGATTCTCGGCTCCTCTGGGACACCCCAGCTGGGCGCGGCCAGGCTCAGCCCATCACTGGGACTTCCGGGACCCAGGTCCAGGAGATCTGCACGACCCCCGAGTCCGAAAAACCCGCGCCGGTTCACCGGTAGCGGCTTCTCCAACACACTGGCCAGCGCCATGTCTAGTAAGGGCAAAAGGAACTCCGGGAGAGAACGCCTAGGAAAGAGGGGCCGGGCAACGCCTCGCTGTCACAGCTTCACTTCCTATTCAATCTATCCCAGCCAGGAGCCATTTTAACTTCTGGCAACCACGCCTCCAAAAACAACAGCCAGGCGCAAGGGACTATTTTCACCGAGAGGGAAAAAAAATAAATGGCTTCACTACCCTTAAATTCTAAAGGGATCTGGCTGCCATCTTGACTCTGGTCATGAGAGCAGTACTGGATTACATTAACCTCAAATTCATAGGAAGCGATCGGAAACGTCCATGTTGCGTGCGGGAAGTGAGGCCGGCCATCTTTGAGAAGGGCGTGACTGGTTGAAAATCAGTTCTGAACCCTTAGCGGTAAGTCGTCCCCGCCCAGCCCGGTGTCCGAGCAACACTTTACGTCGCTACTGATTCAGCACCCTGTTAACGCGACTGGAGTTGCCATTTTGTTTAAGGGCACCCTCTAATACTGGGTAAAATAATGATCTTCTCTGAGGCCATTTTCCTATGAAGTTAGTTAAACCACAGGAGTTTGTGGTAAAAAGCGCAACAATTATGAAAGTGCTATACGTCTTGTTTGCTAGCATTAATCGCCACACTACCCACGTTCTCTAACAGTAACCAACTTTTAAGATTCAATATTTTCTTTACTCCCACCCTCTGGTGGAAAATCTTATAAGTAATGAATGGCCCAAAAGGCAGATAGAATAAAGAAGGAAAAGCAAAGGGCCCAGTTAATCCACAAACTAGATTCTCAATTCAGCTCCTGAATAACTGAGTCAATACTCGTTTACCATCTCAGAGCCTGGAGGAGAAAAGGCTCCATAAAGATGTACCAAGAGGTTCTCCAATTTAAGCTTGCTACGACAAGCTCTTTATTCAGGAATGTGCTATATTTTATTGCCTCTCCCTCTCTCCACCCACCTTCGTTTTTCAACTCTTTTGGGAACCATAACAAGCAAGGAAGTGGGCAAATGTATGAAATGTTGCCTCCTGCTTTGAGGCTGTATGAAGTCAGTGTCTGGCCTTCCTTGGTGGATTCCAGCGGCAACATCCATCAATATCTAAATTTCACTTTCCTCTCATGCCCAACTCAGCCCCTCCTTTTCCCCAGCAGACTCTGCATGTGTTGTATTTTTAATGCTGAAATTTGGCAACCCTTTCCAAGACCAACCATCAGAATGGAATGAAGCAGATTTTTATCTGTGTCTCACAGTTAGAGTGTGTGGCAAATGCAGAGTGCCTCTGCTTATTGAGCAGGTATTATTTTGCTGTCACCCCTGCAATGCACCTAGGCCTCCTTCTGACTTCTGTCAGGGTTCTGTCACTCTGCCACTAATGGCATTTGTACCTCTCTTAAGGCCCTTTCACATTTTACCTGGTTGTAAGTGTACATTTTTTTCCTACTGGATTGTGAGCTTTTAAAGACAGGTATATCTCTACTATTCATCTCTGTACCCACTGTGTGCTTAATACATGTTTGCCAAATGAATACATGAAAGAATGACAACAGTGTTCTTCCAGTCACAGAGGCTTGAAGCCCTGGCTCACCTTTAACAACTCGCCTTCCTTTCCTCTACAGCCAGTGAGTTGCCAAGTCCTGTTGATTCTCCCTCTACAATCCTTCTCACATTCTTTTTCATTGCAACTAATACCACCTTTGGCTTCTTATCTCCTCACTCTTGAAATATTCTCCTAATTGATTTTCTGGGCCCAGACTGTACTCTGTAATTCATTCTGCACATCACCAGACTGAGTTTCCTAAAACACCATCTTGATCTTGTCACTCACCTGCTCAAAAATGTTCTGTAAGGTCCAGCTCTTCAGCATGGCATTCAAGGCCTTCCATAATCTGTTTCTGATTTACTTTACAATAGTTCTCTGCTCTAAGGTCCCTACACTTGGAGACCTCAAAAAGGAGAAGTACAAATGACGCTGCTGTTGGTGGGAATGTAAATTGGTGCAGCCACTATGGAAAACGGTATGGAGATTACTCAAAAAATTAAAAACAGAACTATCATGTGATTCAGCAATCCCACAATTGAGTATTTATCTCAAGAAAATGACATCACTATCTTGTAGAGATATGTGCACTCCAATGTTCATTGCAGCGTTATTCACAATAGACAAGACATAGAAACAACCTGTGTCCATCAACGGATGAATGGATAAATAAAATGTTATCTATGTGGTGGAATATTATTCAGCCATAAAAAAGAAGGAAATCCTGCCATTTGCAACAACATGAATGAAACTTGAGGGCATTATGCTAAGTGAAATAAGTTAGACAGAGAAAGAAAAATACTGTATGATCTCACTTACGTGTGGAATCTAATAAAGCCGAACTCTTAGAAACAGAAAGTAGATTGGTGGTTGCCAGGGGCTGGGGGTGGAGGAAACAAGGAGGTGTTGGTCAAAGGGCACAAACTTCCAGTTATAAGAGGAATAAGTTCTGGGAATGTAATGTACAGCATGGTGACGATAGTTAACAATACTGTATTGTATACTTGAGAGGCGAAGAGAGTAGATTTTAAATGTTCTCATCATAACAACAACAAAAATGGTAATTATGTGAGGTAGAGGATGTGTTAACTAACCTTGTTGTGGTAAACATTTTCCAATATATATATGTATCAAACATCACATTGTGAACCTTAAACTTATACAATGTTATATGTCAATTATATCTCAATAAAGCTGGGGTGGGTGGGTAGGAATGATAAGTGCTGTAGTTTAGAGGTGGGAGAGGAGGTCACTATAGGTTGGGATGAGGTTGGGGGTCCAGGAAGGCTTTGCCAAGGAGGTCTGGATTCATTTCTCTAAATGCCTCTTGGGTCCCATTGCTCCTCAAACCCACAGTCTCTCCTCTCTCAGCCCATACCTGGAAAGGATTTTCAGAATAGGTGGTAATTAAGCCAGACTTTGAAGAATAGGATTCAAATAGATGAAGGGGAGGTGGGAAATGTGTTAGGAATAGAGTAAAAAGAGGTTGTAGTGGGTGAATTGGGATTGGACCATAGTGGCCTTAAATGCCAGAGGCCTTAAATGCCTGGGGCAGAGAAGGTGGTTCAGATTTGATTTTCTTAGTAGAAGAGGTTTCTTAGTAGAAGAGACAAAGAATTTGAGTGATTCCTTCGGAAAACACATCAGTGTGGAGGATAAGATTAGAGGGGAGACTGCAGGGCAGATCTCCAGATCTGACTGATAATGGCCTCCAGATTTGTCCAGATCTGACTTGATAATGGCCTGACCTAGGGAGGTGGCAATCCAGCGATGTATGAAGTGTCTAAGACAGTCTTTATTTTTTAAATTTTATTTATTTTTATTTTTTATTTTTTTTGTGAGGGAGATCAGCCCTGAGCTAATATCCGTGCTAATCCTCCTCTTTTTGCTGAGGAAGACCGGCTCTGAGCTAACATCTATTGCCAATCCTCCTCCTTTTTTTTTCTTCCCCAAAGCCCCAGTAGATAGTTGTATGTCATAGTTGCACATCCTTCTAGTTGCTATATGTGGGACGCGGCCTCAGCATGGCCGGAGAAGCAGTGCGTTGGTGCGTGCCTGGGGTTCTGAACCTGGGCCGCCAGTAGTGGAGCGTGCGCACTTAACCGCTAAGCCACCAGGCCGGCCCTAAGACAGTCTTTAGAAAGAGGAGACATTCTTATCTTTTCAGTAAGATCCCCATGTGGTCCTACTCAAAGGAAGGGAGGACTGGTTGAACTTGGCTTGACCTCGGCTTGACCTCCTGCTCTCTCCAGTCTTCCCATGACAGGTTTACACTTGCCATTAGACTGAGACGCCAGGAAACTGCCAGAGCCCCACCACCATGGTGTCTGGAGCATGCAGGCTCTTTCCTTTGTGTCTGGGTCTGTTTCTTTGAATAAACCCATTCCCACAACATCCCTTCGAGCTGCAATATTTAGTAAAATATACTCCATATGGTGCTGGAAATAGTTCCAGCTTGTTACTCTGGCCCAATCTACTTTGTCTTTCTGAAGGGCCAGTTGTCAGGGTCCAGCAACCTTACCCCTTGACCCCCCCTGGTTGGTCTAAGACTTAGACTCAGCATTATGGGGTCAAGGTCAGTTGTTTCTCCTGCCTCGGAACTACAAACCAGTTTCTTGCCATTGTGAACTATTGGGCAGAAGGAGGACCAGGAGAGGGAAGGCCACTAGATCCTTTCAGCTACATCCTCAGAACTGGAACAGAAGTCTGAGAAGCTATACTGCCCGAGAACTCTCAGGAATGCCATCTCTGTATGCAGATGGAAGTTCATATTCACGCCCAAAGTGGAGGAGATAGAGCCTCAGGTTCTAATTTCCCTTCACCTTGCACCTTAGTACCCTGACTTTCTGGAAGGTATTTGAGCCCCCCCACCCCACCTCACAGGCTCTCTTGCTGTTTTCTCTTTTGTCCTTGTCTCAGTCCATTTCTCCTTCCTCACCTTGACCATGAGGTGAAAATGTGAGCTGAGGGCCACAGTTCCCTGGCCCCTACCTCTGAAGGGAGAACCCCACGTCAGGGACTCTTGCCTCAGTGGGTCCCTGGCACTCTATTCTGACTACATCTGAGCACTGACTTGTCCTCACCTCCGCCTAGGCTGGGAGCTCTTTCAGGGCGGGGACAGAGCCTTATCGATCTTTGCATGCCCAATGCCCCCCGCAGGAAGAACAAGAGGAACCCTGCCCTGCTCCTTCCACTCACGCCTCCTTTCCTTTGCGGTTACCCAGCCCTCACTCCACTCCAGGTGCTTGGGGGAAGACAGACAGGAGACTCCCTGGGTGACGCTCAGGTATGTGATGGGCAGCGTCTTCCCAGCACTAGAGACTCTGCTGGCCTCATCCTGTCTCCCCTCTGCAGTCCTCTGGGGAGGAGGGGGCTGCTCCATCAGCTTGTCCCAAAGCCTGATTTGGAGTTAGGGAGAAGTGAAACCACGGGTCACATGCCTTCCTCACCTGTTCTGGCTGCAGCCCAGCTTCTCCGTGGCGTCCCTCTTTGCTCAGCTGACCCCAGCCCACAAATCCCTGCCTTGCTCCTTCCAGCCTTCACTCAGTCCCAGGGATGGCTCTGCAGGATGTGTGCAAGTGGCAGGCCCCCGACACCCAGGGACTGTCACCTCACCTGCTTCAGGCTGGTGGCTGGGCTGTGCCCCGGGGCTGTGACCCTCAAACCTTCTTGCAGATCCACGGCCCCAGGCTGGCCCACGGCACCACCACCCTGGCCTTCCGCTTCCGTCACGGAGTCATTGCTGCGGCTGACACGCGTTCCTCCTGTGGCAACTACGTGGCTTGTCCAGCCTCATGCAAGGTCATCCCTGTGCACCAGCACCTCCTGGGCACCACCTCTGGCACCTCCGCTGACTGTGCCACATGGTACCGGGTGCTACAGCGGGAGCTGCGGCTGCGGGCACTGAGGGAAGGGCAGCTGCCCAGTGTGGCCAGTGCTGCCAAACTCTTGTCAGCCATGATGTCCCACTACCGGGGGCTGGATCTGTGTGTGGCCACTGCCCTGTGTGGCTGGGACCGCTCGGGCCCGGCCCTCTTCTATGTGTACAGTGACGGCACCTGCCTGCAGGGGGACATCTTCTCAGTGGGCTCTGGATCTCTCTATGCCTATGGCGTGCTGGACCGCAGCTACCGCTACGACATGACCACCCAGGAAGCCTACGCCCTGGCTCGCCGCGCCGTGGCCCACGCCACGCACCGTGATGCCTACTCAGGGGGTTCTGTAGACCTTTTTCACGTGCGAGAGAGTGGATGGGAGTACGTGTCACGCAGTGATGCCTGGGTGCTGTACTCGGAGCTGCAGAAGCTACCGGAGCCAGAGAAGGAAGAGGAGGAGGAGGCCAGCCAGGCCCATCCTGAGCCTGCCGCCCCGCAAAGAGCTGGTGAACTCTCTGTGGGGGCTGGAACTGGGAGACTACAGGATGCCTGCAGAGACTGAGACGCTGTGAGAAGCGACAGGACTCGGGGTGCTGGCTCAGGGAGTGGGTGGGAGGATGGGGCAGCAGGGGGAGCAGCCTCACAGCTTCTGGCTCCAGCCCTTGTGAGATGCCGGCTTCATCTGTTCCAAGTCTCCATCCCTTTCTGCCTCCCAGAGCTGTTGATGGCTCTGTCCAACACGTTCCTATTGACGCCCAGTAGATTGGTTCAGCCCCTTCTCGGCACTGAGTCTTTCTTTCAGCAAGTACTTACTGTGTGCCTGCTACACGCCAGACACCGTGCTGGGTGCTAGACCTTTTTCTTGCCATCCTCTTCTCTGCTTTTTTCCATCCTATCCTGGTCTCTCTTCTTCCTCCTGTTTCCGTTCTCATCTCAGCTTCAGGGGGTCTGTCACTTTCTCACCTTGGCAAGGTGGGGTGACCAAGAGAGGAACCAGGTGGGGAGAGTAGCCCTGAGGGCGCAGGCTGGGAGGGGCAGGGCCAGTTCAGCATGGACACCGTGGGTGGTGAGGGGCTTCTCACATCTGCTCTCCTCCTCTGCCACCCCCCACCTGCTTGACTCTAATGACTATAATGATTGTGCCTTTACTGAAGGCAGTTCTCATGATAACTCTTTGAAGTAAAAATTATCCTCACTTTACAGAAGAGAAAACAGGTTCAGAGGGTTATGTGACTTGCCCAGGTCACACAGTAAGTGGCAGAGACGAGGCGTGGATCAGGCCTTCCACTCCAGAGCTGTGCCCCATCAACACAGCCTCTCCTCCCAGTCCTCTTCCCTTTCTTTCCTCTCCCCACCACGCAGAGCCCTGCAGGTATCTAGGGAGTGAGGTAGGGGCGAGAGGAGCTGGGCCAAGTCCCTGCCTGGTGGCCAGGGATGAAGGAGCCCAGGGAAGCTGCCCCACCGAGTCTCATCTGGTCCTACCCGCCGGGGCCTGGAGCCATCCCACAGCCCACTGTGCGCTCTGGGCTTCTGGGCCATCGTTGCTGCTGCCAGACTTCTCCTCCCCCTTTCTCTTTCCCCCCTCCCCCTTTCTTCCCTTTGCCTTCTTTCCAGCCTCTCCTTCCTGTAGCTCCCTCTGGGGAGTAAAGGAAAGAGGGAGGTGGCTGTGCCTGTGGGAGCTGCGGGTTAGCACATCCTCTCCTGCCCCTCCTGGCCCCCCTCCCACTCCGCTGTAAGCCTGGCTTGGAGATGTAGGCTGACAGCTCCAGCAGGGACAGCGCCCGGCCCCTCCCCTCCCCAGGCCAAGTGGAGGAGGAAACACACGGTGGGCCAAGAGATGGGACCTGAGGAAGGCTGCTGAACCTTCTTTCTCTCCTACAGCTTCCAGTTCCAAGATTAACAGCCACTCTTCCTCTCTCCTGGACACCCCTCCTCCCAGCCTCCAGCCCAGCTCTGAGCCCCAACCCTGCACCTCAGGCTAAGAGTTCCCCCAGGCAGGAGCTGGCCAGAAGGAGGAGACCTCTAAGCTCTGGTCTTCTGGGGATGACTAGGGAGGAGGGAGGAAAGGTCTTAGGAAGGAGAGCAGTGGGGGCAGAGGGGAGGAAATATGGTGGGGACGGGGAGCTGCAGAAAGGTGCCCGGTGCGGGAGGACTAGCCTTGGAGCCAGGGTCCAGGAATCTGGCTGGTGGCCTCCACAGCAACCCTTCACCCCTCGTCCACTCCTCAGCCTCAGGGGAGGAGGTGCGGGTCTCTGGGAGTGATAACTGGAGGTCAGGGACCGCTGGCCAGCCTGGTCCTGGAGGAGCACAGCAGGAAGGGCAGTATTTGCCCAGGGTTCCAGTGTGTGATTGACTCAGGCAGAGAGGGTGCATCTCCATGTGCAGCGCTGTGTGTGGGTCTGTGTTGTGGTGTCAGGTGATCCAGCATAGGTGTGTGCACGTGAGTGTGGCAGGTGATGCATGCGTGGTTCCTGTGTGCAGAGACTGGAAAGAGACCGGAAGAGAAAGAGCAACACCTGGATGAGGAGAGCGGTGCCGATGGGGGAGAAAGCCAGACTGTCACTTCTTTTGGGAAAACAGTCCAGAGTGTAGAGGAGGTGGGGGCAGGGTGCACCCCACAAGTTCACTACTCCTGCATCCTCCCACTAGCATCCTGAGAAAAGGCAGGGAGGGAGCGGGGGCCTGGAGCCTGGGGTTGCCGCCTGAGCCCAGCCACAGGCTGGCTGAGACCTGCATGCAGCTCACTCCTCTGGGATGCTCTGCGCCACTTCCCCCGCTTCCCATAAACCATAAACCCAGAAAGGAGGATTGAACCCAGTCAGAGAGGGCGGAACAGGAGGGAACCCCTCTTGCATCTCCTTTTCCCATCGCCTCCCCCCTTCTCTTTTCCTTCAGCGGTCCTGCCCCTCTTCACTCCTTTGACAGCTTCTGTCCTTCCAGGTGATGAAGTATTTGAGAGAAGCCTGTTTCCCTGTGCCCTGCTTTTTCCTGGAAGTTTAATGGGTTGGGGAGGACGGGAGGAGGGTGTTAGGGAGGCTGGGAGAGCAGGCGAGGGCCCGTGTCTCACTAGTCCAGTGCACCCCTCACTGCCGAGGAGTGGCCCACGACTCAGGCCCTCCTTTTCTCCACTTGTTCCTGAAAATTTGATGCAGACGTCAGGGGCAGAGATCTTGCCGTCCTGCCCTGAATGGACGACCTTGTCCCTCTGACACCCTGCTTGGGATGCTGCCTCCTTGTCGTCTCCTTCAGGGCGCAGACAGCCTGCTCTCGCACAGGCCTGTGGGCAGTCAGGAGTCCAGGTCCGACCTTCAGCAGAGTAAATGACAACTCCAGCCCTGGATCCGGGGTCCTTGTTCTCCCACCACCTGGCTGCCCTAACCAAGCAGGCGTGGGAGGTGTGAGAGAAGACATCTTCCCGTGGAAGAGTTGGGAGGGTCACAAGGACCTATCCTGACCCACCTACTCGGGTCTCTAGGAGCCCTGCCTGGAGTTAGGAGGCCTGGGTGCTTATGCTGGTTCCTTGGTGGATCCTTTCCCAGCTCAGGGAGTGGACACTGAGAGATGCTGGCCGTCCGCTCAGCTCCTACCCCGGGTGACTTTGACTCAGCCCGTCCACAGCCTGCCTCCCTGGTCCCTCTCTCCCTCCTTTGTTCTCCATGAAGAGTAAGACCATGGACTGGGGAAAATTCAATGTGACTGTGCCATCTCCCCCTGGCTCACCCTCCCCCCAGTGGCACCGCAGGCCCCAGCAGGGACTGGCTTGGCCCCCTGCTGCCCCCACCCACATTTTTTCCTGCGCTGGAACTCCCTTTCCTCTATTAGTCCTTTATCTCTCCTCCTCTCTTCTCAGCTCTCACCCTCTACTTCTCCTTCCCACCCTCCCTTTGGGCCAATCCCCACATCTTCATTTCCTTGGACAGTTTGAGACCAAGAGGGAACCCAGTGTGTTGGCAGTGGGGGTACAAGTCATTATTTCCTTACTCCCTGAATAGAATCAACCCAAACCCTCCTCTATCCTGAGGGACTTGAAGTGGACGGCCCTCAAGGGAAGAAAGAAAATGAGCGGAGGGGACAGGCTTGGGCCTCTTCTCCTGCCCTTTGGCACAGTGAACTCTGTACAGAAACCTGAGCGCAGTAACGGAAGCAGTGCCCCAGCTTTACAAAATAAAGTGTTTGTTTATTATGAAATTAGAGATGGAGGCCCCTCCCCTTCCTCCCTCTTTCCCCTTCCCCAGCTGCCTCCCCCATTCCTTCCCCTCCCTGCACCCTGAGGCCCCTGGGAAGCATAAAAGACAATGGCCAGAACTGGGAGGCCAGGGGCAGGCAGACAGCTGGGCAGAGCTCCAAGGAGGCGGCCACTGGGGCTGGAGCTCTCGCCCTGGGAGGTGGGCTGGCTCCCTCTCTCTGCTGGAGGCCGTGGAGCCAGGATGAGGCCATGAGTGATGGATGGAACCATGCGGGCGGGTCTGTAAAGACAGGAGAGCCCGGTTAGAGGTGGTGAGTGGGGGCGGGCCCTGGGCCACCCCTGTGCCCCACATGGTCTAGGGGCACTGACCTGGGACAGAATATCCCCTGCAGGAGGGTGGGCAGCAGTGGCTGGAAGTTTCTCTTGCTTTTGGGATGGACAACGAAAAAAACCAAAAAGCCAGTCACAGGGACCCAGAGAGAATGCGGGCAGATGTGGGCAGGAGACAGACACAGAGTGTGTGTGTGGGCAAGGGAGACAGGGAGAGCGTGCATGAGAGATTTAGAATTGAGGAGACAAAGACAGAGCCACGGAGAAAGTGGAATCACAGTGAGAACAGACTGAGAGTCGGAGCCACACAGCCCAGACGCGGACAGGGAGAGTGTTACAGACAGACAGAGATCCCTGGAGAGAGACACACAGACGACTCAGGAGGAGGGAGGTAGGAAGGAGGTCGCCCTGGGGAAGCTGGGAGTAGAGGGACACGGGACCGGAGGAGGCCTGGGGGCCCCTGGGCTGCTGCCGCCTGCCTGGACCCCGGGGGGCTCACTCAGAGGGCCTGTGCGGGCTGCCCCACGGCGGCGCTCAGGGGCCCGGGGGCTCCTTGGCCCCGTACAGCTCGGCCAGGGTGCGGAAGAGCGGCCCCCAGTCGTCCAGCGGCTCAGCCGGGCCCGGGGCGCCGCCGGCCTCGCTCCCGGAGCCCAGGGAGCTGAGGGAGCCGCAGGAGGAGCCGCGGCCCTCGTAGCCGTACACCTGCACCGAGTCGTAGGGCGGCATGCTGAGGTCGTCGTCCGCCTCGCGCAGCCGCAGCGCCAGGAGCTGCGCCACGTCGGCGGGGCCGGGGGGCCG